TAGCACTTTATTACAATATTTTGCAAGTGGATATTTTACGTCTTTTTCGTAAATGCTGCCCTGGTGCTTGTGATCCCCGCCTTGATTTCTCTTGTGCAGTATCCCAAGTTATGGATATGATCCACTTTTTCAATTCTCGATTTCATACCTTCACTTTCGATTTGTCGATGTTGATTTCTATTCGTATCTTTTTCCCATTTCGACGATTGTACTCATCATGATTTGTAGCTCGGTTTTGGATTTTAATACTACCACGAGATCATCAGCGTACTTTATAGTGGTGTTTATTCTTCCTCCAATCGAAAAATCTCCCGTGTCTTCAAATACCTCGTTGACGAGCTATTCTTTCGTACAGGGTGGAGTAAGGTCGGTGACATGTAATTCTGTTTGTATCTTCTTGATTCATTTGGACGTTTATTTTCTGTTACATATACACACTTTGGATAATCTTGTGGTCTCATTAATCGACGCCAATAGATTTCAAAATCTTTGTAGACGTATTCCAGTTGACTCTGTCGAAGGCTCCTGAACATCGAGACATCTGTCTGACATTTTCCTTAATATTCCAATGTCATCTCTGGTGACTTTTCCTGTTCTGAAACCAAATTGTTTTTTGCTAATTTTTTGCACGATCTTATTTTTGTGCCGTCTCGTAAGTATTTTGGCCAGTACCTTTTCTGTATGCGAAGTCAATTGTCCTGTGGTCACTTGTTTGCTTTGGGCGTTTTTTCAAGAGCTATTATTGTGACATCCAGAAAGTTCTTTGGCCATATGCCCGTTTAGTATATTTATATATTCGGTTCAGTAGTTTGGTCAGTTTTTTTAACTTGTTATTGTCCAATTCTTTCAGCAGGTCCATCGGAATATTGCTTCTTTCATGTTGTTTCATCTCTTGTTTCTTTCCTCTTCTCATGTCCTTTATTTTTTTCTCGACTTGGCTTCTCAATATGCACGGTTCCTTGTCGTCTGTGTCCACCACTTTTTTTTTAATTTCAATATTGTCAGGATGATATTCTCTATCCTACAGCTTCTCAATATATTTCTCCCTTATGGTGAGAATTTTCTTGTCTTTGATAACTCTATTTCTATTATCGTCTTCCAATATTTATGTATTTCTGTTTTTCCTTTCAGCTCAGTCCATCTCTTTTGATTATCTTGTTTTTGAAGTTTATTATTCTGTTACACATTTTGTCTATGTATTTCGCCATTGCCTACTCTGTTTTATGCCTTTTTAATTTTTTATCAATCCTTTGATTTATTTTCTTGCTTATCCATTTTTTATGATCTATGTCGTTATTCAAGGCTACTTCCTATACCTTTTCGACCATGTATTCCAGCGATTCCTGAAGGAAACTTTTTACCCTCTTCCAATCTTTCTCTACTGCGTTTTTGTAGAATTTTGTCTCTATTATTCTTCAATTTTTCAGGCTTCAGGTCTGTCTTTTTTATCTGTTTTGAGATTATTCGTTAGATTTGTCGGGTATTAGCAAATTATGATCGGAGTTTTTGGGTATACCTGACACCGACTTGTTTCTTATCATAACCGCCACTTCTTTCTCGGATTGGTCTATTCCGGATTCATACATAGTGAATCTGTCCGATGAAATTTCCTGCCCTCACATTGTTTTCACATTCCACTTTGCTAACTTGAAAAGCAAATTGACCGCAGTTTTGTTGCTAATTTGATGGCTTTCCCCTCTATAGCCTACCCCCGGAAATCCTAACAGCTGATTTTTTTAACTCCGGAATATTTTACAAAAGAGAAAGTTTTCATTTGGAACCATTTACTTGTAGAATGCTATCTCACCTACTCTAGGAAGAATGTAATGCGGTAGTATCCCCTTATTCTTTCTACGCACTAAATCATTCATATTAAATCCAATGAAACGAATCCAGTAAATGTCTAGATTAGCCATGGTTTGGCCACAAGGCATGCTACTATTGGCTTTATAATTTTGTTTTCAATTCTGGAATGTTCCAACACGGATCCAACGCACACTATAGATGTCAAAATTATAATTGTTTCGGATTTTGTTTCGAATCAAAATGACTCTACAGCCAATCAGAGTAGCTATCGCAGTAGGCTACATCATTTGTTTAAAAATCGCATCCAGTTCAAAATAAATTCGGCCACAGTACTCAAATTTTTCGAATAATACCTTCAAAATTATAAGTATATTACAAAATTTAAAAAATTAATAATAGTATCTGTGTATTGGATTGGCGTGTAGAAAATGGGTGTATTATGAATTAATAAGTGGATTAAAAAAAAAAACGGGCATAGTTCGAGGCGAGATAATTGGTATGTAGCAATTTTTAATCATTTTGATTTAGTAGCTAATGTTTTATCTTATATTTGTTTATAATATTAAAACAGTTTCCACATATTTCCATAATAATCATTTCTTTTCAATATTGATGTGTCAAAAACATTTTGTTTATTATTTATTAACGCGTTGCTAGATACGAGCTTGAGGGATGTGTTTGTTTTATGGAGTTAGGATCGCAAATTTAGCTTTTGAAGTCGATTGAAACAAAACGCATGTTGTTCTTCCGATGATTAATAATATAAGGTACGCAATTATAAAAATTATAGTAATATATGAAGAAATTTTATTGGTTGGAAGTAACAAAGGTGATATTGTTATTTCACTACTACTAATGAGATACTATGTTTATTCTTTCAGAATTTCTTATACTGATAAAAAACTGCAGTTTTCAATACGTATATAGCTTATGCTAAGACCATAAATTGAAGGATATTAAATAGAATATTAAAAAGTATGAGATAAGATATTAAAAAATTTGGAAGTTAAATTGTAGACGTGAACACAGTACAACGTCTGTCGGTTCATCTAGCATATTTATATATATATATATATATATATATATATATATATATATATATATATATTATATTTATAAAACATGAGTTTAAAGAAATAATGTATATGCAATTTTGGACGTATTGTGTTATTTATTAAACTAAACTAGCTGTAAGTGGAATTCTGTCTTAAGGCAATTAGGGCATCGTGCCTTAAGGCAAATTGCTGGAACTTCCCGTACCAAAAATTATTAATTTTTTAAAAATTATTAACATTTTTGAAAAAAAATTACTTCGAAAAAATTGGATTTTTGAAAAACTATAAATTTGATAAAAAATTACTATTTATTGAAAAAAAAAATTTTATTTGAGAAAAAAAAATTTTTTTTGAAAGGAAAAATTTTTTTTTTAAAACAAAAAATTTTTTTGAAAAGAAAAATGTTTTCTTCATTTTGACATATTTTGGAAATTCTGAAGTTTTTTTCAAAGCAATCGTACTGCTTGAACTGCATAGAGACGAAATGTCACAGCGCAAGTGCCGCGCCGCCGTCTAACGCATAAGCATTGGTACGGAACCCATAGAAATGTTAACAAAATGTATACTTATTGTTAAAATCTCTATAAAATATCTGATAATTTGATGTGCATATGTCTAATGATCATTTTTGACCGCCAAATGGCTAATTTTTTTACTTTTTCCTCCATATCTCCGAAACCGCTAGACCTACCTTTATGAAAATTTTATCGATTCTTCATCTTGTCAATACAAGTAAAATGGTTTTTGAATTATTCAAATCGGATGCTCCGTTCTCTTGAAAACTGAGTTACCGTTTTCGGCACTTTTTGCCCCGTATCTTCGGAACGGCTAGACCTGCCTTTGCCAAAAACTAATCAGCACGTCTCCTTATCAATACGAATCGAATGTTTTTTGAATTATTCAAATCGGTTAATCCGTGTTCCCGAAATCGTCGACGAAAATTTGTATCCGCACATACATACACACACGTACATACATACACACACACATACACACACACACACACACACACACACACATACATCCATTTTTTCTAAGGTATGCCAAAATGTTCAGAAACCTTTGAAACGTAAAGATATATAAAAATTTTCATTTTCGATTTTTTTGCGATTACTATAACTTGCCCTACGGGAAGTTAATTATATATTTTCTACTCCCAAACCTATATTGTATCTTATATAGTTTTAATATCTGGCACATATCAGCTGGTTTTCGGCAATATTTGACAATTGTAGATATATTTATCTTATTCAGTATCATGAATATGGATATTATATACTAATATTGTCTAGGCTCGCTTAAAGTAAATTCAAATTTCAAGTGAATCGACATTTTTGCCAGATGACAGTTCTCATGTGTCGAATTGATTTCAATGACAAACAAAGATAAGCGTATTTTTTGTATTTTTTTTTCATAATCAAAAAATCCTAGAAAATTCCCTTAACAAGCCTTCAGGAAGATTTATGAAAATGCAAATAATAGTTTATGAGGATTAACCTTTCATACCTCATTAGAAAAGAATTTTATATATAAGATAATATATATATATATATATATATATATATATAAAGATGTCGCAAAATATAGATGAAAGAATTACTTTGTTATAATTTTTTAGTGATTATTTCGAAATTATTTAAATAATTCAGTGCTTGGAAGTTGTGCAATTACTCGTTTAGTTCCAATTTTCACTATTTGTTTAGAAATTAAAATTAGATTAATTGTAATAAGAGATTATATTATGATTTTTTATCACATATAATTTAAAATAAATCAATTGATATTAGTATGAATGATTTTAATATTAATTAATTACAAGTACTATATCACAGAAGAACGTGTTTTACGAGGCGTTGAAAGTCAGAGAATATCAACCCTCTATTTGCATTATAAAGTTTTGCAAAATTCAAAAACAAAATAGTAAAATACTAGTAAAATTGTATATGCTTTCTGGTTTCAGGGCTTCAAACGTGTTGTAATTTGTAATATAAATAAAATTATAAATCAAAACATAAAAATAGATAGAAACCATTTGAAAATATAATCTAGGTTGCTCCACTCTGGTTCTCAACATCTCGAATGTATATATGTCAATATCAACTATATTGTTGCAATGCTCATTTATTATTTCTTATACAGAATCCTAAAAATGACTTACTGTAACTTATGAGAATGAAACCAGGGAGGAATGTAAGGAGTAATATAGTTAATGATGGCGATAGTAATATGCTGTAAATGCTGCCGAATTGTTAATAAGCCGGAACTTCGCGTGGCACTTGGCCGTGCGTGGCACGTGTTTTGTTTCGCGTGCTGTGAGTTTAACTTTAAAGTTTAGAAATCAAAATTAAGGGGGTATTCTAGTGTAGAGCGATGAATTTTAGGTCATTTTTAAAGTGTCATAAAAGAAAGCAATAAATGTTTTTACTGTCCATTTTTTTACCACTTGTTTATTAATATTATTAAAATACAAAACAAAAATTAAAAAATAAAAAAGTTGAAAATTGTAAAAACTGGCAGCTGATAAACTGGGTGGTCTCAAAAAATTGGCACCTCAGTCTTGACATGATTTCAGCCCTCCTGGCCATCGGAAATGCAAAATATAAAAAGATTATTAATCTACAATGATGTCGCAATCGTCTGAACTAGCGATGAGTAAAAAGATTTTTTTTACAAATTGGCGACTGTTTGAAAAAAAAGTTTTTTTTTTACTGTTTTTTTGAGATTCTCGATTTTTTTAAAAATAGTAAAAATTGGAATTTGGGTATAATCCTAGTTCAGTCTATAGATAGGTCTATAAACAAGACTCTCTGAACATTTTAAGTGAATCGGTCAAGTAGAACTCGAGAAATCGTGTCAACAGTACTGAAAAAGTCTGTTCTGAGAAAAACGCATTTAAAGTTTTGGGTGAAGCCAACCAGTATGGAGACCGAGTCAGTAAAATGCCTATATCTCCGAAAATAATTCAAATTTTCAAAAACCTTTTCGTACACATATTCTTAGTTAGTTAAACTTTGAAAATATAAAATTAAAAAAAATCGATTTTCTTGAATTTCTACACTAGAATACCCCTTAAGTGTTTTAATTTTTCTTTACATCTTCACAAAGACATTTGAGCCGCTCAGTGCACACATTGAATAACTTCAGTTTTTGAAAAAACAGATGACTTTTCGAAATAATTTAACACTATAAAACAGATTTTTTTTTGTAATGAGTCATTTATTTCAGAAGACATTTTGATTAACTCCATTCTGTAGTTTAAATGTTCCGGCTGGGCCTGATTTTGGGTTTGAATTCATGAATTACGGATAAGAATTTAATAAAAATATAAAACATATGATTGTTTAGCTAAGAACTGTGGTCTCGTGAGTCTCAAGAAAATTCATCTGTTTTTATAAAGGACATCAAGGACTTTACAAACTTTGAAAAAATAACACTAAAATTATAAGTATAAGAATTAGATTTATTACTTTATTCAGTTGACAACTTGATAGATTAACTCCGTAACTAAATTAATTAATTATTTCCTCGCTATTAATAGTTATTAACCCTTTATACCGTTACATGTAAGCTATATATGTATTTATACAGGGCCGGTCCTGGGGTCCTCACCGCCCGCATGCAAGATTTATTCCAGCGCTCCCCCCACCCAATAATTTTAACAGTTTTAATAGTTTTTCATTAAAATTTTAAATTTATTTTAATTTATTTTTTCATTATTTACAATATTCAAAATTGCATCGTAAACTTCTCCTTATTGGTATCGTAAGGGCCGAATTGTATTCAGCTTTTTTAACGTATTTTCAAAGTATTGTTCAAAGATTAGTAAAAGATGCAAAGAAATTACATGTCCCTTATCTATACTGAAACAAAAAAATTATATTTGTATCTGTATTATTTCTGCATAGTTAATAATTATGTATAAAAAATGTAATACAATTCAATTTTTCGGAATAAACAAGCCATTTTCTAAGCACTGGTTCCCCATTTACCATTTTTTCTATTGTAATTAGTATATATTTCTTAAATTAATTTAAACTTTCGTAGGTTTGCTCTTACGGGATTGAACACCAAATAATTTCTTTTTCGATTCCACGTCAACCTCAAACGAAAAAAATAAGTACATTATACAATAAGCAGAACAATAATTTATAAATTTGCAGGGTTATTATTTGGTTAATTGTTTCTATTATTGATATCACATTGCAAAGTGAATATGCTTTTTGTGTCTCACAGTTAAGTTGGATTGATTATTATTATCTATTAAGTATTCTAGATTTTATAATTAAAAAAAATATAAATAATATAAATTTCATTTCTGAATCTCGTTTTGACGCCCCCTAAGGCGTGCGCCCGCATTTTTTGCATGCAATGCATTAAAGGTAGGACCGGCCCTGTATTTATACGTACTACGTTATATTTTACAATTTTTATTATAACATTTATTATAAATCTTTCAATCTACATTTTTTTGAAGTTATATAAATATTTTATGAAGAATTATTAACAATAATTATGTTACACGCAATCGTAAAGAGAAATTAATTATGAATGGGCTTATATCGATAAATACATTGCTTTTGTTTATGAACCTGTTTGAGTAGTTTTTATATAATATTTTATTTATTTTAGGTCATTGCTTATGTGACTAGTATTTTATGAAACTGACTCGTATTTTTGATTGAATTCATTTGTAATTTCTTCGTTTGGAATTCTAAATAGAATAATCTAATAAATACTGTTACTTTGTTTCCTATACCAAATATATTGTCTAATTATACAGTAGAACTCCAATTATCCGAATTAATGGGGACCGGAACCCATTCGGATAATCAAATATTCGGATAAACGGAGTTTTTTTTTAAAAAATTGCCATTGGAGAGAAAAAAAAGTTACGTTTTGATATTGCACTATTTTTTCTATTGAATTAAATGAAAGAAACATGATATTTTCACATGTTTTAAATATAAATAAAATGTACTTATGTACAAGTTTAGAAATGAAAAATCATTGTTTTTTAAACATCTCCGTCAATGTAAGCTGTTTTAACTGTAACTTGGAGTTTTTTTGAACAATTTTTTTTCTGAAAGTGATTCGGATAATCGGCGATTTGGATAGTCGGAGTTCGGATAATTGAAGTTCTACTGTAGTCTAACTTTAAATAATGATTGAATTGATTGAATTGAATTGTTTATTTAAAATGAATGAATGAATGAATAAGTTTTGAATTTGGCTACATTATCTGATTCTGATTTTCATTATCGCAATAGTTTTTTGCAATTGATCATTTTGGAATAACTTTTAAAACTTAGTAAATTTTGAAAGCAACATTTGATCGTAATGCTGTGCTTTATTTTGATTCTAGACGTATGCCGAAAAGTGATAGACGAGTGCTCTGCGATTCTCTATAACGAAGAACTGTATTGTAAAACGTGCCACGCACTGTTGTTTGAGGATAAAGATCCACAAAGTGCTTTAACCAGTGGACCATTAAACAGCGATAACTTGTCGAACGACGTACCGACCGGTACTACTTATAGCCCATCACTTGATACCTACGGAAGGGCCAAACAACAATACGACACATACAACATATCAGACAAGACTTCTGGCGCTACATCAAGCGGATCACCCGATCGAAACCAAAATTTTGACAAGAGACGTCGCGGCAGTGATTCGGTGAATCACAGTGTTTCGGACTACATGTTGGGGCAGCACACTACAGCGCAGCCGACCGTCTGCGTAAAATGCTTTTCGGATCTTTGCAGATGCGGGGTAATTATACAGACAAACTTTTTATATAATCAGGGCCGGATTTAGAAATTTGATGCCCCGGGGCACTGACAAAAATTCCGCCTCATCCCTGAAATTTTACGAACTTTCGAACTTTTTTTGCAATCAAACTGCTTCAGCTGCGAGGGACAATATATAGAAGCGCGTAAGCGCCGCGTCGCGGTCTAACGGATAAACAATGTTACAGAACTTATATAAATGTAAACAAAATTTATACTTATTATTATAATATCTTTAAAATATCTGATAATTTAATGTGCATATGTCTTATGATCACTTTTGTCCGCCAAATGTTTCTTTTTCAAATTTTTTAAGCAGTTATTTATTCTGTAATTTTTTTTGAATGTTATTGGACGCTTTTTTTCAAAAACTGAATTATCATTTTTGGCATTTTGGTCAGAATCTTCCAAACAGTTGGACCTGCCTTGACCAATAACTAATCAGCACGTCTACTTATCAATAGGAATTGAATCATAAATTAGTTGATCCGTGTTCTCGCAATCGACTTGAATAATTAAAATATAAAAAATATTAGATTTGTATTGATAGGGAGACGTGCTGATTAGCTTTTGGTACAGGCAATTACGAAAAATGGTAATTGAGTTTCGATATTTCTTCTCTGAAACAGCTACGCAGCGCGATTGCTTTGCAAAAAGTTTATAATTTTCGAAAAATTTCAAAATACAATTTTTTTTTTTTCATTTTTCAATAAAATTTAAAGCTCTTTATAAAATGTAATTTTCAGTACGGGATGTTTCAGTAATTTGTCTTAAGGCACAATGCCACGAGTCACTAGTTTAAATTTTTTTCGACGCTATAAGCTTGGAAGTGCACAAATACGTCATTTTAAGAGGGCTCGAGAACTGAAGTACATATTTTAATTAAACTTTCAGCTTGTTTACGGATCTTTATATTAGCCAAATTGCCAAATTTGATAACTTAGGCAAGGCAAAATAATAAATTTTAGTTATCGTTTATTTCAACCCAAATTTTGCATTGCAATCGTATTATATTTTGTTAATTATATTTCTTGAAATAAAAAATGTTGTTAACAAAAGTTGATTATATTTTATAAATTTTTTTCTCACTATCCAAATTTAGCCGCCCCCCAAAATTTGTCGCCCTGGGCAGTAGTCCCGATTGCCCCTACTGTAAATTCAGCACTGTATATAATTTATACTTTATTAATCGACTTATATATTTGTAAACTTTAGCTCAGTATAGACTATGTGTACGTAATAGGATCGATTTTTGTTCTATTAATATGGACCCAAAATTTTTAGTTTGCACACATGCAAATTGTGTAATATGTAATATTTCAATTAATTTAGCTTATGTTTAAATAAGATTGGCGACTTTGATGTCAAATTTCCACTTGAGGTCATAGATCTCAAATATAGCCTCAAGTGAAAATCGCCTCTCGTGGGTATAGTTGCACAAATAATATACTATCTACTGGTTTACATTGTAGCATAATCATTGTTAGCAATCTCTGCTTAATGTTAATGCTCATGTAAAGCAGATTGCAGAATAAATTAAAACTAGCTGCAAGTGGAATTCTGTCTTAAGGCAATTAAGGCATCGTGCTTTAAAGCAAATTGCTGGAACTTCCCGAACCAAAAATTATTATTTTTTTAAAAGCGATTAACATATTTGAAAAAAATTTACTTCGAAAAAATTAGATTTTTGAGAACCAAAAAAAAAATTGTTTGAAAAAAAAGTTTTCTTTATTTTGGCATAGTTTGGAAATTTTGAACTTTTTTTCAAAACAAAGCAATCGTACTGCTTTAACTGCATAGAGACGAAATGTCAAAGCGCGTAAGCGCCGCGTCGCCGTCTAACGGATAAACATTGGTACGAAACCCATAGGAATGTAAACAAAATTCATACTTATTGTAAAAATCTCTATAAAATATCTGATAATTTGATGTGCATATGTCTATCATTTTTGACCGCCAAATTCATCTTGTCAATACAAGTAAAATGTTTTTTGAATTTTTAAAATCGGACGCTCCGTTCTCTTAAAAACCGTGTTACCGTTTTTAGCACTTTTTGTACCGTATCTTCGGAACGGCTACAATTGCCTCCACCAAAAACTAATCAGCACGTCTCCTTATCAGTACGAATCAAATATTTTTTTAATTATTTAAATCGGTTGATCGGTGTTCTCGAAATCGTCGACGAAAATTTGTAACCGAACACACACACACACATACATCCATTTTTTCTAAGGTATGCCAAAATATTCAGAAACCTTTGAAACGTCGAGAAATGCAAAAATTTTCATTTTCGATTTTTTTGCGATTACTATAACTTACTCTACGGAAAGTTAAAAAAAAATATGAAAATTCTTATTGCCTTCACTAGGGAGAAGTTTGTTTTCACGAAATATTTCGATTTGCTAATTTTATGTTATCGACGTTTCAAGTCATTCTGTATCGAAATGGGACCAAATTTGGGAAAAGTATATGTCAGTGTATATGAACCGTCCTCTTGGCCATTCATCGACGTTTTTTTTCCAAAATTTAAAAACCATTCGTTGAGGACTTGCTTTGACTAGTTTTGTGCGACAATCAGTCGAGTTTCTTTTGTAATTAGTTAAAAAGTGTAAAGAAAATAATTGTCCACGTTTTAGCCCACAATTTGAACCGATTTTAAATATTCAAAAACTATTCCACGGAAATTGGCTATGAATCGCGTTGATTAGTTTTTGGTAAATATCGCCCGGGCCGTTTCTTTTTATTTATTTTTTTGGCATATATTTATTGCCGATCAAAATATACATTATGCATTTTATACATTTAAAAAGTTTATATCTCCTTTTTTATTTTTAGACATTTTATTTAAGATCGTATGCCGTCTCTTTGCAATTAAATATTAAAAACAAAATTGGTCAATTTTGATGAATTTGTGAATTTTTGTATGCAATAAAATAGTATCGGCCTACGATGAGTGATTGAATCATAAAAAATCATCAAAGTTTAAAATTTCGCCGGGCGTTTGAGCGATTCTAATCAGAATCTATGTCGAAGCATCTGCGTAGTGTTTTGTTTGAAACTCCAAAGTCCAAACTTAAATAAAATATATTTATAGGTCCGAAATGAATAAAATGAATTATGCTAAACAAATTTATTTTAAGAATTAGATATTTTAAGTATGTTTGAAAGATATCAATTGAAAATCGTTTTGATTATTCTTTAGTAAAAGCGTTTTTTTTTATAACAAATACATATTAAACAACAAGTTACCTAAATAGCTGAATCTCAAATCTTATTAATGAAAGTCATGTATACGTTCATGCAACTTGTCTTAAGGCATAATGCTATTTGCAGCTAGCTTTAGAAATTCTTTATAATTATTAATATTATTGTAATACTAAAATCTGTTTATTTTATTCTTATTTTAACCAATTAACACATTATTCTATGTTTCAGAACATGTTTGTCCGCAGCAGCATAAAGTAAGTATACATAATTTAGTTTACTTTTTAAAGATTTTCATAAATGGTTGAATAATTTATAACAAGAAACGACTCAGTTTGTGTTAATTTACGTCAAGCATCTGTCGTCAAAATCCAGTATTTATTACTATATATCAATTTATGTTAATCAATCGAACTATTATGATTCGCGCACCCTTGACCTGATATAGTTCAGTCTTATCAGCCTTTGTTAATGAAGAATTGTAATTTGTAGTACGTCAATTTTGATTTATAGTAGTCAGCAAATTTCCAGTCGGTATTTCAATGTTATCTATATAGTTTTGTGCATGTATAGCATGTATAATAAACATAATAACATAATATTTCAAATTTAGTTATGATTAAATTCCTGAATGAAAGTTGGCTAAAGTAAGAGTTTTTTCAATATTGAAATTTTGTTAAATATTTATTGACAATTCAAAATAATTCTACTATAATTATATTAAAAAGAAGTTTCAAGATAACACAGGTCCACATAAAGGAAGTTGTCGTTGTTGAGTATGCGACATATGTTTTTCAATGCATTTTTACCGCTAAACACGAATACAGTAGGCCCTCGCTTTACACGGCACTCTGGGTACACGGTTCCCATACTACACGGAGCTAAAAATCCGACATCCCTCCGACTACACGGACTTCCTATTACACGGTTTTCGTTCAACAACGCATAAATTCCTTGCGCAACCTTTGAATGATTATAGGAACTTGATATCTAAAGGGTGTTAATGTAAGTTTTGTTATCGACTTTTATATTTTAGACATGTCTGATTATATAATAGCTGTCTAAAAACGCGATTGAGCTGACTACTGCGTCGCGCCAATTTTTGAATAAGGTGTCAATGTCATAAATGTCATTTCGTCCGTATTACTCCTACTTCAAGTTGCATTTCTTAGTCTCCATACAGCACGATAAAAATGGCGCGATTTGTACCAACTCTGAGTCTTCCATAGCACGGTTCCCATACTGCACTATGTAAGGTTACATAGAACGCATTACGAGTTAGCCTGAATCGTATGTTAAATACGAGGTTCTTATAACACTGCACGGTACGCACTTGCCGCGTAAAGCGAGGGTTTACTGTATACTTTATTTCAAAGTTGGGTTAGGTAAAAAGTTTATTGGAAAACATATACCGCACATCTAATACAGACAACTTATTTTCATTGTGGACCTGTGTAATTCTACTTTAGTAGCTGATCGCCACTTCAATAATTATGTGCTACTGTAGCACTGCTACAATATTTTTCAAAATGTATTTGATCAATTTGATGGTGATGATAATTTAATATTTTATTTTTTAACAAAAAATCACAAAGATGGATGTTTCTAGATTTTTTTTTAACAAAAGTCCCGATTGCTGGGTTATCGTAGATATGTAATAGCGCACTAGAAATAATAAATTTTGTCTACATTACTATCTAAAAAAGAACTCATTCCGAACACTTTGGCTATTGCTTTTGTATATATCGAAGCACTTAAATAGAAATTATATAATATACATTTTGAAAAAGAACATTCAATCTGGATTATTTTTAGTTACTTTTTATTATTTTGTGAGGATTGAATCATACTTGGCTCTCTGGTCGAATTATTCGGTATTTATCAATTATTCTGTGATTTAGTGACGACATTAGCTGCGACGCGAGCCGCAGGCCTGCTCCTCGCAATAGATTGTACTACGATGATTCATGCGAACTTCGCCGACGTTGCTCGCGTTCATGCTCGCCGCATTCGCATGAGACACATCATCATATGGCTGCGCATTCTCTGGACGAACCCTCATGTAGTTACATACACAGTCCACCAAGGGTAAGGAGTTTTCATTATTTTTGATGTTTGTGAAAATAAATAAACGTCACGTTATTTGGAATTTTTTGAATCATTGCATTTTATTGCGACGTTACATTAATTAGTGCACAGTTATACATACAATAGTACACCCCCCCCCCCCGACTCGTCACACTAGTTTCTTGAGATCCGCACCGCCAAAGAAGCGACTCGTTTGCTTTGTCATACGAGCAAAATTCGAGATACGTGCGAGTGAGCGCCATAACGTAAACTTATGGGGGTGTGACTGAAACATCAATTGTAACTGGGATTTTCGTATGTAACGTCGCATTTAACAATCATACAAACATTTAAAGTAAATTATTTCAAAGTTAAAAATTTCAATTTATCAATATCAATGTTGTGCATTTGTACGTGCAAAGTGGGACAAAGTTGAAAAGTTTGTGGATAAAAAGCACCCCGAGAAAAAAGAATGCTTATCGGATAATTATTTAAAACGCAGAAACTAGTATAATGAAAAAAATATTTTTATTTAATAGTTTGCTGTTTCAACAAAATATGTATTTGATCTTAGCAGTAAAGTTTTATTCATTTTCATCATAAAAACTTTATGCTGGAATTTAAATGTATTTATATGGAAAAAACTGCTACGAGATACGAGGAATTGGACATGCGAGCGTGGTTATGGAATGAATTAAGCTCGTAAGGCGGGGGTAATTTAATTATATGCAAATAGCTGATACGAACAAGTAACAAAATACTCACTCATAATTAAATGGTCCAAATATATTGGACACGATTTCAATGACATGAATAAAATTTTAGTTTGCTTTATCATTACAAATTATTGCATACTTTCCTTTTCTGTGTGTTTGAGTCAGTTATTTTTTATATTTTGGTTAAATTTTACTTATGTATTAAGTGTCAATATGATAGTAATATGATTTTACTATTACTTGAGCAGTAAATAATTAAATGAGAGCTATGCTTTCATTGAGGCACTTTGGCTTGCTTCTGATTGCGTGTCTCACACATCTTCCAAGTTCTAATTTTTACTGGAAATTTTATATAGAAGAGAGCAAATTCTAAATAAGTTTATTAATATTTTAATACTTTCTATATTAAAAACAAGATTTCATTCAACATATCAATGTATTGTCTGTTGACAGTCATATTGCACTCCGGTAAACAGCGATTGTAGCGGGCAGCATAGCAAGCAGCACATGCACCATCATCACAATACAAACAATTATACGTGCAGCTGGTAAGCATTCAGTAATATTTTTCAAATTTAAAAATAATTTAATTTAATTTGATTCTTTTTTTTGTATTGCCTGAACTGATATATTTTTAACTTCCCGAAGGGTAAGCTATTGTAATGGGCCGAAAATCGGAATTGAAAATTTTTACATTTCTCGACGTTTTGAAGGTTTCTTAACATTTTGGCATACCTCAGAAAAAATGGATGTGTATGTGTGTGTATGTATGTATGGATACAAATTTCCAGTCACGTTTTAGGGCGCACGGATCAACCGATTTGAATGGTTCAAAAAACATTCGATTCCTATTGATAGGGAAAAGAGCTGATTAGTTATTGGCAAAGGCAGGTCCAGCCGTTTTGGAGATACGGAGCAAACAGTGCAGAAAATAGAAATCGAATTTTTGAGAGAACGGAGTATCCGATTTGAATGATACAAAAAACATTCAATAAGTAATGATTGGGAGAAGTGTTCATTAGATTTTGGCGAAGGCAGGCCCAGCCATTTTGAAGATACGGAGCTAAATATGTAAAAAATGGCAGTTTTTGAGAGAACTAAGCGTCCGATTTAAATGATTCAAAGAATTTAAAAAGATTTGTATATCGAAAATATTTCATATTTTATTTTTAATTCTGACTATAGTTCTAATAGACTTTATACATAATTTCAACTCTGCAATTCAGTTTATATAATTATTATAAATATTAGACAATGTTTCGTTACGGTACGGGAAGTTCCAGCAATTTGCCTTAGGCACGATGCCATAATTGCCTCAAGACAGAATTCCACTTACAGCTAGTTTGATTCTAATATTATAAGAAAAACTTATTATACTATCTGGTTTGAAAAATTAAAATCTTTTAAATATTCTATATTAATCTTTATCAACAAAGTAATCACATTAAAAACTACTTATTTATAATTGTGAAATTATGAGTAGCAGCCATAATTTACCAGTTAGCTGGGGGAAAAGTAAATTAATGGGTAATTTGAACATTTGCCTACGTGGAAATACTGAAATATTCTCCTTAAATACGACGTGTATTAATCAAATCATACAAAAAAAGATCTGTGGTATAACCGTCCACATCCTAGGGACGGCTCTTTTAAAGGGTATCAATTTAAAAATGAACAAAAGTTTAAATGAACGAAATTAATAGAAGTCAACCACAATAACCAAAAAGTGATCAAATCATCAAATATATGTAGAGTAAAGGTAAAGGTAAAGCCCCAAATTTCGGTAGAATAGAGGTGAAGCACCAAATATAGGTAGAGTAGAGGTAGAGGTAAAGCACCTATTTATTATAGGTAAAGGTAAAGGCGAAGCACCAAATATAGATAGAGCAAAGGTAAAGGTAAAGCATCAAATATAGGTAGAGTAGAGCTAAAGGTAAAGCACCAAATATAGGTAGAGTCAAGGTAGACGTAAGACACCAATTATGGGTAGAGTAAAGGTAATGGTAAAGCAACAAATATAGAGTAAAAGTGAAACTAAAGCACCAAATATAGGTGGAGAGTAAAGGTAAAGGTATATTGACCAAGTTTTAGGTTGTACTTAAAAGCTCGTAATAAACAACGCCATTTTTAATTTCCCTAGGGCAAGTTATAGTAATCGCAAAAAATCGAAAATGAAAATTTTTACATATCTTTACGTTTCAAAACCTTCTGAACATTTTGGCATACCTTAGAAAAAATGGATGTATGTGTGTGTGTGTGTGTGTGTGTGTGTGCGTGTATGTATGTATGTTCGGATACAAATTTTTGTCGACGATTTTGGGAACACGGATCAACTGAATAATTCAAAAAACATTCGATTCGTATTGATAAGGAGACGTACTGATTAGTTTTTGGCGAAGGCAGGTCTAGCCGTTCCGAAGATACGGGGCAAAAAGTGCCGAAAACGGTCACTCAGTTTTTAAGAGAAATGAGCGTCCGATTTGAATAATTCAAAAATCATTTTATTTGTATTGACTAAATGAAGAACTGTTCAAATTTTTGGAAAAGCAGGTCCAAAGACTGGAGATATGGAGAAAAAAGTAAAAAAAATGAGCCATTTGGCGGTCAAAAATGAACATTAGACATATGCACATCAAATTATTTATTAATTATTTTATAGAGATTTTAACAATAAGTATAAATTTTGTTCACATTCCTATGGGTTCCGTACCAATGTTTACGCGTTACACGGAGACGCAGCGCTTACGCGCTTTGATATTCTGTCTTTATGCAGTTAAAGCAGTACGATTGCTTTGAAAAAAAGTTCAGAATTTCCAAAATATTTCAAAATAAATGATTTAAGATAGAATGATTTAATATGGTTCGAAATTCTATTAAAAGTTTCAAATCATTGATCAACTTTTATTGATTACTAGCTGACCCGGCAAACGTTGTTTTGCTAAATAAGGTATATTATAAACCATTTCTAGAGAATCAAAAATATGAATACTTTAAGTGCATAAGGATGTGTTGTTTGAATGCTGAATACAGTTAGGTATTATAAAAACAATAAACCCCATTAGTTTGTCTATATTTTGTCAATACAATCAAACTGCAAGTTTTATACACTTTCTATAGAAAACATCGTATAATCCAATCCGAGTCTTTTTTGGTCTTTCGGCTTAAATTACGTTTCAAGTTTTTCAGATTCTTTTTGGATTCTGGATTTTGTGTTTAATTGTAAATAATACTACTGAGCTTATACAAAATTTTCAAATTTTTGCGAGGAGAGATGAAAAATGAATTAAGTATTTCTTCTTTGACCTGCTTTTTGAAAAGTTTCAAGTTACATTCGATGAATTAAAGTAAATTTAATAAAAAGTATATATGTAGAGCAGGGCGAGACACAAAGTTCCAATTTGACTTTGAGCAAATATAAACTATATTGTGAAACTATATCTGACTACGTTCAGTAAACTGACTTCTACTTCATCATTGTAGAAATGTGCTTTTTTGATGTCTTCCAAACATTTGTTATCTAGACCTTTTTATCCTATATGCGCTGTAACTTGCAACGGGCAGGTGGCAAAAGGTTTAAAGCCTTATTATAATTTTAAAGGTATTTTACAAAATAATTACATTTTTAACTAATGCTAAAACTACCAACGGAAGAAAATACTTTTATTATGGATTTTCAAAGATTACCGTTTTCAAATCAAGTTTGTAGCTGGCTATACATCTTTTTTCCTCTACTTTCACATATTGTTGTTAAACAATGCTTAACTTTACTGATTTTTGGCACATCGGTGGTGGACCTTTTTAATCCCGGACCTTCATATATTAATATCTATTCTGCGATAAATTCTGGGAAATTATAACTGGAAAAATGTTATTCGACAAAATGTCTATTTGATCGATAACAAATTTAGGTTCTGAATTTAAATAAGATAAATAAAAAATATTATAACCTAGAAAATGTTTTATAAATACCAATGAGTATATAATTATATAAATGAGATCTTTCAGAGCACCGTGTTTGAGAAAAATATGCCAAAAAGTGCATTTTCATATTAACATTTCAAAACAGTTGATATTCAGTTTCTAGTAACACTTGCGGCCCGTTTACTAACGTTTTATAAATAAATAAAACTACAAACAAAACTACTTACCACAATTCAATCATAATTAAATAATATTCACGTAAAACATCCTATTGAACGTAATTGAACATCATCTGTCAAAATCGTTTGACATTTCACGTGTTAGCCACCGTCCACTGTTTTATTCAAGGTACGCTTCTACAAAAATTTTCAAATTAAAAATGTAAAGTTTCTACGCGGATTTGAAATAATTTCTCACCTTTTGGACAATCTCTGGATTGGCACGAATTTTTAACTTCCCGTAGGGCAAGTTATAGTAATCGCAAAAAAATCGAAAATGAAAATGTTTATATATCTTTACGTTTCAGAGGTTTCTGAACATTTTGGCATACCTTAGAAAAAATGGATGTATGTGTGTGTGTGTGTGTGTGTGTGTGTGTATGTATGTATGTATGTATGTATGTATGTATGTATGTATGTATGTATGTGCGTGTGTGTATGTATGTGCGGATACAAATTTTCGTCGACGATTTCGGGAACACGGATCAACCGATTTGAATAATTCAAAAAACATTCGATTCGTATTAATAAGGAGACGTGCTGATTAGTTTTTGGCGAAAGCAGGTCTAGCCGTTCCAAAGATACGGGGCAAAAAGTGCCGAAAACGGTAACTCAGTTTTTAAGAGAACGGAGCGTCCGATTTGAATAATTCAAAAAACATTTTACTTGTATTGACAAGATAAAGAATTGATCAAATTTTCATGAAGGCAGGTCTAACGGTTTCGGAGATCTGATGAAAAAAGTAAAAAAAAATGCCATTTGGCGGTCAAAAATGATCATTAGACATATGCACATCAAATTATCAAATATTTTATAGAGATTTTAACAATAAGTATAAATTTTTTTTACATTCCTATGGGTTCCGTACCAATGTTTACGCGTTAGACGGCGACGCGGCGCTTACGGGCTTTGATATTTCGTCTTTATGCAGTTAAAGCAGTACGATTGCTCTGAAAAAAAGTTTAGATCTTCCAAAATATGTCAAAATAAAATAAAACATTTTTTTTTTCAAAAAAAAAATAAAAAAAAATTTTTTTTTTCAAAAAAAAGTAATTTTTTGTCCAATATATAGTTTCTCAAAAATCTTATTTTTTCAAAGTAAATTTTTTTCAAAAATCTTAATCGTTTTTAAAAAAAAAATTTTGGTACGGGAAGTTCCAGCAATTTGCCTTAAGGCACGATGCCTTAATTGCCTTAAGACAGAATTCCACTTACAGCTAGTTCAAGGCTAAGACTGGCCAAATCGATTCAGCCGTTTTCGAGTTTTATTCGGACATTTGAAAGACAGCTCCATTTTTATATATAAGATTACTATTGATTATTTTTAATTACTCGAATTTTGAATTGCGGTACGGGAAGTTCTGGCAATTTGCCTTAAGGCACGATGCCCTAATTGCCTTAAGACAGAATTCCACTTACAGCTAGATTTTTTTAATTTTTTTATGATTGTTATGATCAATGCTATTTTCCACTTCTGTGACGACCTGTATATGTGTGCGCGTGTGTGTATTAAAGCATAAATTTATTATTAACAATTGATTCAATATTTAAATTGCAAATTTAAAAAAATATATATATAAATGAACTACTTTTAAATTACTAGGCAATAATCTTATTAACCTTAATGAGTTCTTTTTTGTGTTTTTGTTGAATAGTGGATGCGATCCTAATCACTACGAGTGTGAATTCATGCCATGCGAGCACAGCCACGACCATCTCTGCGACCGCTCACACAGTTCATACAGTACTTATTCAACAACATCAGACCAACAGACGTCATACGAAAAGCTGGACCCGCTTCCTAGTTACGTGCCCTCTGGAAAAGTACAAAAGTCCACACAAGATTGTAAATGGTAAATATCATGAACGATTAAGGGGCACAACTAGTGTAACCGCCTAAAAAAGGTGATTTTTGGGAATTTATATTAAAAAAACTACTTTATCAATCATTTCAAAATTTTAGGAATATATTTATACATGTCTTAAGAATACATAGTAAAATTTTTGAAGAAAAAAATTAAATATTTTTTAAGTTATCGTCGATCTCCAACGGCGCGACAAAAAAAAGGCCCTTCACTGCTTCAGTGACTCCGGCCTTCTACGTAGATGAAATTAAAAAAAAAAATGTCGTTAAACTAGATAATGTCTGTAAAATGAACTACGATAAAGAAAAAAAATCTAAAATTGACAAAATGACGGCGTTTTTTAAAAAAAGTCGAATTTTACCTAAAATTTTGGTCTTTTTTGGACTGGCAAAATTCGATTTTTAATCCGATCAAAAAATTGATAGTTTATTTTACGGAGAACTATTTATAGAACATGTAAAAAAATTGATAGAGATGGGATCATTTGTTTTTGAGTAATCGCTGCAGCAAATTCGGAAAATGGTGTTTCGAGAAAAACGCGTTTAAAGATTAAATGATCGTTATACTATATAACTATATATATATACTCTTTAAATGGCTGTAACTCAAAAACTATTTAAGATATCGATTTAAAATTTTGGTATGTTATTTTTAAAGGTATAACCTATTGAAATATAGAAAAATTGAAAATTCGATTTTTTGAAAATTTCACACGTAGTTGTGCCCCTTAATGCAAATTCAAGAAGTTGTATACAGTTAAAAGACCAAAAAACTAATTTTCTAGATTGTTTCCTGGGAAAACAATAAAATTATGTTACGAATATTTATACACATATTGTGGTATTCTTTAACTATATTTTAAAAATAATTACAAGTAAAAATATTTATTTGAGAATGAACTACAGCTGATCTCCGAAAGCACTTGTTATAAAACATGTGAAGGTTTGAAGCTTACCGTTTTCAAGTTATATTGATCACCGACTTTGAAAACACCATTTCGAGAAAAACGCATTTAATGTTTGGAAAGCAAATTACATGGGATAGATTTTTTTTTCAACTTACATAGAGTCGTCTGTATCAGGTCCATGTGAGTCGAATTCCGAAACTCCTAATAACACGAGCTGGTGTTGACTGCGAGCTATTCTTTCATCTCGGGTGCTCTCTCGCGCTGTTCGTCTTTTTTTTATAATACATTTCAGATTTCCATTTCTTCATTAAATATGCCGGTAGCTATGATTTTCTTGTTTACGAATCGGTCATTTCACATATTCAGAAATTGCTTTAAACACTGTTATAAAATTTAAAATGCGATTCTCAACAGAAAAATTGCATGTAACTGAGTTTTCGTGTTGTTTTTTCTATTTTTTTCGCCGAGACACTAACAACTTTCATCCGTCTCACCAGTGTTTTCCTTTTCAAATTTGCGTGTAGCTTTGAAAATACAGTATTATTCGCGCTTCCTTCGTGCGCCTTTTTGGTATTTGCGACCAAAAAAATTGTGACCCAACTTCTATATTCGCGGCTAAAAATTTCGTTATTTACGGATTCTAATATGTATTGAACATTCTAATATGTATCTTCGAAAATACTGTCATTTTGAATTAATGAAGAAAACTTGGACAGAAGCCGCCCCCGTTCCCTGGGCCGTCTTCGCCGCTATTGGTGTTTTCGAAAATGCAAACCAATAGAATGAAAATAACCTTATTTATTACTCGATGAATAAAATATATTTTTAGTTAAATTTTACTCAAATCGACATGAAATCACCATTCTCGGTCTATTGAAGTAAAGTAAATAACTCCAATTGCTTTAAGCAATCGAAACGTGATATTTAATTTGAAAAATCTTATTGAAGAATTAGAAATGATGTGTGCGACTTCTATATGAACGCATATCCGTATATGGAAAGTCTTGTTTTTAAGAGGTCTGAATTAAAGAAGCAAAACAATATTACAAAGTCCTTCAGACCATTGCCTAAGCGTCAACCTAATTAATCAAAATATATAGAAACTATAATTAAAAATTATTTTTTTATATTTTATGTAACACGCAATATCTTAAGGGGGTATTCTAGTGTAGAGCGATCAATGTTAGGTCATTTTTAAACTGTCGTAAAAGAAAGCAATGATTGTTTTTTATATCAATTTTTTACCACTTGTTTATTAATATTATTAAAATACAAAACAAAAAATAAAAAATAAAATGTTGAAAAATGTAAAAACTGGCAGCTGATGAAGTGGGTGGTCTCAAAAAATTGGCATCTCAGTCTTGATATGATTTCAGCCCTCCTAGCCATCGGAAATGCAAAAAATAAAAAGATTATTAATCTACAATAATGCCGCAATCGCCCAAACTAGCAATAAGTACAAAGATTTTTTTTACAAATTGGCGACTGTTGGAAAAAAGGTGTTTTTTTACTGTTTTTTTGAGTTTCTCGAATTTTTTAAAAATAGTAAAAATTTGAGTTTGGGGATAATCCTAGTTTGAGCTATAGATAGGTCTATAAACAAGACTCTGTGAACAACACATCAAGTGAATCGGTAGATTAAAACTCGAGAAATCTTGTCAACAGTACTGAAAAAGTCTGTTCTAAGAAAAACGCATTTAAAGTTTTGAGTGAAGCCAAACCAGTATGGAGACCGAGTCAGTAAAATGCCTATATCTCCGAAAATAATTCAAATTTTCAAAAACCTCGTATCCATAGTCTTAGATAGTTAAACTTTGAAAATATGAAATGAAAACAAATCGTTTTCAAAAACTTTTATAAATCGACCATTACTTTAATATATTATTGAAATTAATATTTATTTATTCATTTATTTATTTTAGCCTACCAGCCTTGAAGTACAACAATATCTTAAGTCAAAATAATACCTTAAACCAACCCCGCGGATTTTATTGAAATTAATATAAAGTTCTATAATATTTAATACTAAACTTATTACTAATTTTATTATGGAATCTGTTAAACTTAAGACAGTGCATACTAGTTCTCAACAATATTTATTTTTCATTATTTTGTCACCTTGGAACGTATCCGCATAATTCCATATAAAATGCCCATCCTGTATTAGCGGATTCATGCATCATTTCCGGATTATTTTGTCATCTTGGAACACATAAAATGACATCCTGTATTTGCGGATTCTTTATTCGCCGCATTTTTGCGTGACGTATCCCCCGCGAATAAGGAGGTTTCACTGTATTCACCAAAATGATATGAAATTTTCTGTGTGTTCTTAATATATATATATATATATATATATATATATATATATATGCATTCAGAAAACAAAATAAAAAAACTAACTGTATATAACCCTTAAATATAAACAATTAAATATATTTAAGTAGTAAAATATGTAAAGATAAATAATACAGTTATTTATCAAAAATTTATATATATATATATAGTAGCAGGCCTGTGGCAGTGTCTCCCCGACCTTCAGCCTGCCCAAGTACGCCGTGCCCACCAGGCACATGCCCGCTGATCCTCGGCTTCGGAGGGGGTGGATCTAAATGCCATCGATGCCAAAAACTGGTAAGTTCTAGTTTTAACCATTTCTTCTGCACTAATTTGACGAATGTTGTCCTATTTTTGCCTACTTATATAAAGTTTGCAACGTTACGAATTTGTTTTTTGAATAATTTATGTAAGAATTTTATTATTTTTACATTATTTTGATGCTTATGTTATGTTATGTTTACTTTTTTTAATGTAAAACGCAAATAGTTATGAATGCCGCGATTTGCAGAAACATCGTGTTTAAAAAATAAATGTAAGGTAATATTAATTAATTAATTAATTTATTCTGTTAATTAATTATTTTAAAACTGCAATTTAATTTTTCAAACAATCAAATTTTTAGAATAATTGTTTATCTCCTGTGAGTTTATATGTATGCTTGTTTATCGATTTAAATAATTTAAAAGCCAACCTATGAAATTAGTTTTTTGATACGATCGGCTGAGATGTTTCTTTAAAATTAACAAATAAGTGCAAATTTTTTCGGACGCGTTTCAACCAAAAATTATGATCCGATTTTGAAAATTCAAATACTTTTCGAAAAATATGATTAGGAAATCGTGCTGATTGGTTATGGACAATGATTGATAAAGTTCGATGTAGTCATTTTGTAATTGATGGTTCAAAAAAACATTTGATGAATTTAATGATACTTAATATCGCGATAGAGTTACCTTTATAAACATACTAAAACGTTAGTTCTGTGGACTGGTGGTTCAAATAAGAAATTTTATTAAAATTTGAATTATACGGCCGCTCTTTTAGAAAATATTCCGAGTTTGTATTAGGCACTTGTTTGGTTTTCAGTAATGTGTAATAAAAAATGTATATCATTGAATAATCTGCAATGGTTTTTGACATTATGAAGCACTATAAGCAACTCGACATACTTATAAATTACTCATAGAATAATATAATAGTTTATTATTGATTAAGTCGATTATTGACATATGTCGGGAAGTTTATAAAACTTGCTTGAAGGCAAAATGTCACTTATAACTAGTGACACAATGATCATTTTTAGCGTTTTTTTACCGAATTTTGAAAATGGCTGGATCAGCTTCCAACCAAATAGTACATATTTGCGCTTTAAAAGTACATTTCTTGTAAAATAAAATCAAGTAAAAATGCATCAGATGTTCTTCATAACAATTTTTGCTGTTTCTATAACATTGTGTGTGGGATGTTGCGAGTAAAAGCAATGTTTGTTAAAAAATAAACACGTTATATATGTTTTCCTCTAATATGCACTTTATTATCAATAAGTGATATGCTGTATTTAGTAATATGTAGGTTTATTTTTTGAAATGAGTATTTTATGTAAAAAACTATCAATCAGGCTCATATAAGCTTGAATTTGGCCATTCAAATGATCGATTTCAATTCAAGGTATACCCGAGAGAACAACAACTGGCAGCAGGCAGTTTTTATCATTACTGCTGCTTTACGTGCTTTTGTTGCAGGGAGCCCTTAGAGCCGAGGAATTTTAGTGAGGGACACGGCGAGGTCTACTGTCGGCGTAAGTCAATAGTAATAATGATAATCATAATATTCTGTCAATTCAGAGCCAAAATATGATGATTAATTGATTCAAAGAAATTCAGATTTTTCATCAAGACTCATTTAATTCAAATAAACTAGTTTAAAATAATATTTGAGTGATAGAAGGCGTCGGGGTCACCAATGTGGGAGTCGTAATGATTATGACATTATATTAAATTAGAAACTCCCAACATAATAAAAAAATATAAATTTATTAACTGTAAAAATATTTCGATATCAAAAATATACATGACATGTCCGATTGTTTTTTACAAATCAAAACCAGCCTGCTTGATATCGCCACACACTCCCTGCCCAGTGTTGATCTCACAGTTTAAAAAAAAATACAGGGAAACACGTTATAAAAATGTGGTGGGAAAGCAGATTATAGCAGACCAGTGTTGTAATACTGGTCAATTACAAATTTCCATGTTTCGTCAGCAGATCCACCGTATGTGGTGATTTGACCTGCCATCAACTCCATATTCTGCATAATGTTCTCGATCTAATGGGTATTAGTTATATCAGAATAACTTAATGTTTAGAATGCATAATTTATGGGTACAGTTTCCATTTCTGCAAGCGTTGCATTCGTATCTGATGAGTTCCGATCAGAGAAAGAAGTTGGCTCTTTATCCAAATCAGGATCATTGGTTTCTTTGACATAAGAGTCCAGAATTGTGGAATCCAATAAATTATGTCAAATTTTGTTTTGATTCGTCGTTGTCACCGATAATGGGTGGTAGCATTATAAGACGATTTGTTGAGTTAACAGAGAAAGAGAGGTTGAATTCCAATGAAAAGTTCAGGCTCCAAATTATTTTTTCTGTCAGCAATAAACACTGAGGTCTGGGTATACCAAATGAGTAACCTCGGAAGTCTGATCCAGATAGTAAGTGCGTTAACTATGATGGATTGGACTGGACATACCTTATAGGTCGTCACTGAAGACCAGTGATTATGGTGCTGCGTCAAAATCAATTTTTCTTAAATCTTCGAAAAATAAAACTCATTTATCTTCATCTCCATCGTCGTGAGTCACCAATGTGGGAGTCGTAGTCACGTCGGCGACACGGCGAATTGCGTTTGCGTTTCGCAAACAACGCGTAGATTTAAGAAGCATATTTAAAAAATAATTTTGTTGTTAACAGAAGCGTTCTCTTGTGCACGAAATAAATTGTAGTAAAAACATGTGATGTTTATTTTTTATTATATTTTTAATCTGCTTTGGCATTTTTACGCCTAATTTGCGAAGCGTAGATTTTTTTTTCTGATTCCATATTTTTACTGATTTTACTGCACCACGGTGATTGCTGTTTTGTAAATATAAATAACATTAAGTATTTCAACTTTAGCAGAAGTATGAAATAATGTATTGTTTTTTTTAATATGATGTTTTATTTAATTCTAGTTTTTTAAATATGATGCTTTATTTAATGTGTAAGAATAAAATATATATCTTAATGTATGACAGAAAACGGACCATAGCAAACACTACATTAATGAACATTCTCTGCAAAATTTTGTTTTGGTACTTTTATAAACATCAAGATATTGTTTGATTTAAATGAACAATTCAATTCAATTGTAACCGTATATTAAAAAATATTTTATATATTTTATTTCTTATACTCAATTAGTAGTACGCGTTGAATAACCACTCTGGTCAACTTGTGGGTGGCTTCTTTATGACCAAATATTTGTAAGATAATGATAAATATTAGTTTCAATGTTTTTATTTCTTAAAATATTGCCACCACATTAGCGAACTTTTTTGTCATTTGGAATACGAAACATATTTCATCAATTGACAGTTTCAAGGTTTTCAAAGTTTGGAATATTGACAACTTGTCGATTATTATTTTTTTCTGAAATAAATTTGGAGAGACCACCACGGAGGATGTTCACTTAGTTTGTTAAGGTTTATAGAATGCCACTTAAAAGTTTTCGGGCCTTCAGGCTGAATTCTTAGTGAGTTTTTATTAAATATATATGAGGAATGTTTCGTAATCCGAATTTATAAATCATGTTACTTAACTATAACATAACATAAATCCTATATATAATTATATATAAATATATATATATATATATATATATATATACTTATTTATAAATATATATATATACATACATACATATATATATATATATATATATATATATAGTTTTTTGTATATTTATTCTACTTCTTATTAAACATTTGTAATAAATCACGAAGAAAATGTTAGATTGCTCAAAAGCATTATCTTCAATGATATTAGGTATTTTTGCATTATAAGAAGTTTAAATTTCATATGAGAATGCAAATCACATCATACAATGATTTATTCAAATAGACATTATTACTTCATATCTTAAAATTTATCAAATTTGTTTGTCAAATCAAAAACAATCCTGTATCAAATGAATGAAATTCATAAAATACTATAACTTTATGCACTTTTTTATGTAATTGAAAATCTAAACAAAAATGCCGTTTTGTCAAATGTAGTTATATTATGCAGGAAAATAGCAAATGTTTGTTTGTAATTAAGCTGTATTAGAAGATCAACGAATTTGTTTTGTTCATGTGTTCCACAAAAAATTAGTTGCCCAAATAAGTTTTATCTATCATTTACATAATATAGATTATAAAATTATACGTATTTTTAATCCCGCATTATAAAAAATAAAGAAAATTGATAAAAAATATTCAAAAAAGGATTTGTCCACTTTTTCAAAATGTCTTGAGTAGAAATGAATCTTTCTGTTAATACATTGATATTTCAGTTACAAATGTTCAATTACGTTTTACCAATCCATTGATATTTTATAAACTTAGAAAACATACTACGTCCAACAATACAGTTTTTATGGAGATGATTGTACTAAAGGGATTTGTTTTGAAATTTCGTCTTTAAAACGGCTATGCAGCACGATTACTTTGGTGAAAGGTTTAAAATTTTCAAAAAAACAAATCAAAATATAAAAAGAAAAAATTGAAATTCTCTTAAAATTAAAATTTTAAAACTTTTTAAAAAATAAAAAAAATTCGTTACGGAAAGTTTCAGATTTTTAACCTGATTAACTCTTGCGGCTACACCTGAATACCTTATTAATCGCCCGTGCACTTTTATGTATTTCATATCATATTAGCAAATCATCACCAGCGAATCCTGTAATTATTATATTGCATTTACCTTTTATTGTTTGATGATAATTTCAAGTTGTAAATAATGTTTTCACTATAGAACTGTAGTGTTCTTACTATTTAAGATAAAGTGATTTACTTTAAATGATTAAATTATGCAATGATAAAACTAAAATACATGTTATTGACCACATATTTTTTCAGACTGTTGGTCCGGTATTTGTGAAATCAAGAGACATCGGTTACGGGCTGGCGGCAATGTTGACTACGATTTACCTCTTCTATGTCCGGTGAGATTTTTTAGAAATATTTGCTCATACACAGGAGATTAGGGTAGAGTTAAAGATCAGCGTGTAAAAAGTCCACGAACATTATCTCAGAAATAAGTAAAATATGGAATTTTTTAACGATATAATTTTCTTATTTGAATGATACTTTTGGAGATGTTTGAGGAAAGCAATTCTTTTGCAAGTTGGTTCGGATTAGGGTTTGTCGGTTTTCAAAAACTGGTTTCGAAAACCGGTTTTTTAGTGAAAAAAGTCGGTTTTCACTGTATAAATGGAAAATGACAAATATAGCCAAATATAAAAGATAGATGATAGCGTTTTGATTCTTAAAATCATATCGGTTCAATTGCATTTGATATCTTATCAGTCTTTAGGTTTTGTATATATTAATTACGATTTTTATACCAGTGTATATATTTATTTAAATCAGTGTGACTTCTTGAAGAAAAAAAATAGTTTTAAACCCTCGAAGCAACAAAATAAAGAACAAAAAACAAAGAATTTTTATATCAGGCTTTAAAAACAATTAAGCATAATTTGGTCGCAATATGAGAGTATTTTCTATTTCAGAAAAAATTATTTTGTGAGTAAATAAAGGTCATGTCTAATTCGATAGACGTTCTCAGTTTTTTGAAATCATTTTTTATTAAACAAAAAACAATTAGAATGTTTAAATTTAATTAATTAAATTTGCTCGGAACAGTCAATAACCGAGTTTATCTTAATTGTTTTTAAAACTAAAATTGATATTAACAAGTATGTATCAACATGTATCTAATTTTTTTTTCAATTTAATGAATGTTTTTTGTTTAAAAATGTATTTTTATTTATTCGAAAACTTTCCTTTCACTATCATAAAAATATTTTTATTCTTATATGTGAAAATGATGCATGAATAACGAATAATTATTTTCAAAGTTATTTAATCAAGATAAACTATTATTTTTTAGTTCTACTAATTATAATTAAAATAATTTTGTTTACTATCTATAAAATTGAACAATAAATAAATTCAGTCAAATACTGCTCTAAATTACACTAAATTTGCGGGTAAATTATAGGATATTCGAACAAAAAATTATTTTCTATATAAAATTCGAAAACCCTAGTTCGGATGATGTTCAAGTCTAGTGTTATACTTAAACGCATGTCTTCTGATATCTTCTGTTACTTTCCTGATGGATCAGCCAATTTGGGACATACTTAGGCGCGTCTAATATTTCTTTAACAATGCTATTTTTGTAAATTGTTTGTTGGTTCGACTTGCCATTTTCAAATGTTTATCTTTATGAAATAACAATAATACATATTATAGTTATCTATGACAACTTATAACAACTATATTTTATTTTTAGGATCATGGCGGAGTTGTGGATCACAGGTGAGTTAATCTTTGGTTTTAAAAGTTCCAGCCCTAATATATTATTTTTTACAATAATAGCTTAAGGAAAGAATCTTAAGTGCAACACTACATTTCTACGTGACTATAGTTGTTTTTAAATGTTCTGTTATTAACAATTGGCGTTATTGGCTAACTATAACTAACAAACTGTATTCGCAATGATAAGTCGATCTTTCATAATGTAGATGAAACGTTCTTATATATATGTATTTGCATTTTAGAAATAAATAAAAAATTTCAAGTGGGAGAATAATAAAATATTATTCTCCAGACATGAGATCCATAGTAAAATAGGATCCCTGCGGCATCTATCACCTAAAAAAACTCACGGCTCTCCGGTCACAGGAGGTAGTTCTTTCGACCGAGTATCTTCTTCTGAGTTTTCTAGAATATGCCAGCAAACTCCATCGTCTAATAAACCGAGCCATTCAGGAAGATCCAACTCTTCATACTGTGCGGTAAGAAGGAATTAACTAAATACATCATTAATAATTAACTATAACTGATTTATTTGAACTATATATACGCACATATACAGTTGTATATATATAATATATATATTTTAAAGAGTTATTTAGAATCGGTCAGTAACACCAAGTAAAAAAAACTAAAGTAGTTTTGAATTACTTTATTTATTCATACGTTTCGGTCTTCATCGAGACCGTCATTCAGTGGAAAAAAGAATTAATTATACAATAATGCACTACACTATTATACTGTGATAAACCAAGCTATTAATAACTGGAACATTTAAACTACAGGGTCCGGCACTCGAAGTGTAACCAATTGAAAGAGCCATAATTTTAGTTTGGAAAATCAATTTTACTCGATTCAAAGTACAAAATGTGTAAAAATAATACAAAATTTAAGAACATTTACTTTTGCTCGACATGACCACCTTTTGTTTTGAATATGGCCTTTAGACGGTCCAAAAACAAATTGCATTTGGCCGAACGTGACTTGCAAGTATTTTGGTCCACTGGCGGACAACGGCTTTTTTTAGCGCCTCGAGACTGATGTACCCCTTAGTTCGGACCTTGCTCTCCGAAATGGTCCAAAGAGAATAATCCATAGGATTTGCGTCTAGTGAATTCGAGAGCCATTGTGCGGACGTTTTGAAGTTCGGAACGTTGATTTTCAGCCATTCTTGGTTCACTCGAGCTTTATGAGACGGTGCCGAGTCCTGTTGAAACGTCCATGGACTGCCACCAAAATGTTTGTCTTCCCATGGGTTCAAAACAACCTTCAGAATATTTTCCCGATAATATTGCAGATTTACCTTGACGCCAGGCTCGATGAAAACGTTTGGAGGCCGCCCATCTGCGGTTACAGCGGGCCAAACCATTATCTGTGGCGGGTGTTGCCTCCTGGTGGCCAGTCGATGGCTCAAATTTTTGTCTGAACGTTCAGTCAAGTAAACCCTATCGTTTTGAGAGTTTACGTATTGCTTAGTTGTGAAAATTTTCTCGTCGGAAAACACAATGTTCGAAAATTTACCACTTTCGGCCCGGCGAAGCATCTCCTTAGCTCTCTGAAGTCTCACTTGCTGCTGCTTCGGCGTAAGATCATGTGCCTTCTGGATCTTATAAGGCTTGACCTTGAGATCATTTTTCAGTATGCGGCAGATGCTACGGTCAGATATGTTAAGGTCCTCTGCCATTTAATTGGCACTTCGTCGGGGATTTCGCTCGAGTCGCTTTCTTACTTTTTTGACCATTTCATGTGACGTTGCAGTCTTTTGGTGACCACTTCCATGACTTTTTTCGATGCTACCAGTTTCATTGTAACGAGTTATGGTGCGATAAACGAAAACTTTATTCACTTTATGGTGTTTGAGCCCTCGAACAATCGCTGGTTGTGTTTTTCCAGCTAAATATAATGTAATCACACAGTTACGTTTGAAATACATTACTGATTTCTTTTTTTCGCGTTCACTGTCGACTAAATACTTTCGTGAGCTTATAGACAATACACCAAACAATCATTTAGCTAACTTACTAACAGTTGGTACCCGTGCATCAGCTACGCGAGCGGTTTGAAGTTGGTTACACTTCGAGTGCCGGACCCTGTAATTATTTTTTTGACAATTTTTTGGTTACAATATATAGTGTGTACAAATTGGCTAACGTCTGAATACTGACAAAATACTGACAAAAATAATATATATATATATACACACACACACACATATATATATATATATATATATACACACATATATATATATATATATATATATATACACACATATATATATATATATATATATATATATATATATACAGACGCTTTCTTTGTTCACATCAAACCTATTCAGACCAGCAAAATTCATGGATGTCAGTAATCAATATAATCATTTTGGAAAAAATATCTATTTGTTTGTTTTATAATATAATTGCTATTGCATTTATGTTCATACAAAGTATTAATTAAATTACATTATTTTGTAAATAAAGTCAATATTTTGAATGTATGGGATTAATGTTTCTTCAAGATTATTTTTATCACAAATATTTACTACAAACAAATTTTATGATTTATTTAAAGGAAACTCGCGATAACTCGAATGGGTTTTTGCTAAATTGATTCCTTTTGCCAATTGAATTTTTGTACAATTATTTAATAACTGTTTTAATTTTTATTTTACGATTTATTGTTATTTCTATTTCTATTATAGTTGATGTCATCTATCCATCAATATAGTTTTCGCATCTTTTTTTTCACAAATTGAATCAAAGTTATTGTATTTTCTTGTCTAACTATTTTTTAATATTTTTCAACAATATATTTCTTATTTTTCATATTATAATTAATTAAAGCCATTTCAAATTTCAGAACCGCTGTGGGTCTCATTGTATCAGCAAACATCATCGTCGATCTCCCTCATGGTAATTTCATTTACTATTATTATTGAAACTATTCGAAGGCAGTAGTTAAGAATATAATGACTATAATGTGGCGTATCTGCCTACAGCAGAAGTGTGTGTATGTGTAATAGGTAAACCAAAATTTTACCCTCCATCGACATTTGAGTCACTCGATGTAACTCGATAAGGACTACCGTTTAGAAGTTTTGCGCGATTATTAAAATATCTATAAAATATGTCATAATTTGATGTGCATATGGCTTATGATCATTTTTGTCCGCCAAATGTCATTTTTTTACTTTTTTTTTATTGGGTCTCTGAAACCGCTAGACCTGCCTAAATAAAAATTTCATCAACTCTTCGTTCTCTTAAAAAGGGAATCACCATTTTTGGCACTTTTTTACCCGTATCTTTAGAACGGTTAAACCTGCCCTAAACTAATCAGCACGTCTACTTATCAACAGCAATCGATTCCTTTTGAATCATTCAAATTGGTTAATCCGTCTTCTTGAAATCGTCGACGACAAATTATATCCGCACATACACACACACGCACACACATACATTTAATTTTTTTTAATCGAAAGGTTTGCCAAAATGTTCAGAAACGTTTCAAACGTGAAGATATATACATATTTTTATTGTCAATTATTTTGCGATTATGTTCCCATCGGGAAGGTAATAATAAAAATAATTAAAATAACAAAATTAAATGAAAACAACTTTATATTATAATATATATTATTCCTTTTCAAGCCAAGTGATATCCGTATAAAAAATTATCATAATTAAATATTCGTATTTTTTTTTAGCACAAATGAGGATAGAAGTCGTTATTCTGCACCCTTTCCGATAGTTAATTTCGGCACTCCCGAACGAAAACCAACAATCCCGAAACTGTTCAAACCGGTAAAGTATTTAATTTAAACCTAATTTTGATTTAGACTTAATTTTGACTATTTTTATTTTATATCAATTTTTGCATTATTCTATTACAGGCATCTTATTTCTAATAAGAGAAAACCATTGATAAAAAATATATTAAAAAAAAACGATGATATTCATTCTTTGGTAAGTTTTTTTTTAATTCTAATTAAGATTGATTATGTTAGACTTACAATTAGACTTACTTTTGACTTTTTTTATTTTATATGCATTATTCTATTTCAGGCTTTTACATGAAGTCAAAAGTAACAATGTAGAAAACTGAATCCATTTTTAACGGAAACCACCCCATATAGACGATTGTATGTAAGTTTAATTATATGCCAATCAAGTTAAGATTGATCATGATGTATATTTTGACTTAGCTTAATTTTGACTATTTTGATTTTTTATTCTATTTTAGACTTTGTACATGTAGTCAAAGGTAACAATGAAGAGTACTGATGGCATTTTTAACGGAAACCACCCCATATTTAAGACGATTCATTGTATGTAAGTTTAATTATATGCCAATCAAGTTAAGATAGATCATGATGTATATTCTACTTAGCTTAATTTTGACTATTATGATTTTTTATTATTCTATTTCAGGCTTCGAACTTGTCATCAAAGGTAACAATATGGAATATTGAAAGCATTTTTAGAGGAAACCGCATATTTAAAGTGAACCATTGTATGTAAGTTTAATTATATGCCAATCTAGTTAAGATTGCATTGATCATGATATATATTTTGACTTAGCTTAAATTTGACTATTTTGATTTTTCATTATTCTATTTCAGGCTTTGAATGTATCGTCGAAGATAACAATTAGTATATTGAATACATTGTTAAAGAAAGTCGCATATTTAAGAAGACCTATTGCATGTAAGTTTAATTATATGCCAATTTAGTTAAGATAGATCATGATGTATATTCTACTTAGCCTAATTTTGACTATTGTGATTTTTTATTATTCTATTTCAGGCTTCGAACTTGTCGTCAAAAGTAACAATATGGAATATTGAAAGCATTTTTAGAGGAAACCACATATTTAAAATGACCATTGTATGTAAGTTTAATTATATGCCAATCTAGTTAAGATTGATCATGATGAATATTTTGACTTAGCTTAATTTTGACTATTATGATTTTTTATTATTCGATTTTAGGCTTCTTACTTCCAGTCGATGGGAACTATGGAAAATGAAAAAATATACTTTATTGGGGATACAACATGTATAGGATAATGCATTCTAATGTAAGTTATTTTTATGCCATACTAATTAATTAATTAATTAAAGTAAATTATATTATCCTTTGATCGTATTTGTTATATGGATTTTAATAACATTGAATATGAAAGTAAAAACGCATGAAACAAAACCAATTTATTTCTAGATATAAACACTACAATTAAAGCTGTATTTTTATATGGTTTAATAATATAATGCATATTATTTGTTATTTTAAAAATTATACCAAACAATGTATAATTTTATGCAGGTTCTAAAGCACGCCGCAAAACGTAATAGTTTACATTCTTACATCTTTCTTACTCTGGTTCATGGCTATCATTCCGAAGAAAAAAATCATTTAGGATTCATCAAAAAAACGAAGAACAGGCATATTGCTTCGTTGAAAAGATTAACCTATTGACCCATTGCGCCATCGAAATAAAAATTGAGCAAACTAGTACTCGAATGAGCCCGTATTCGAATAAATGCAATAAAGTACATTATATGAAATGGAAATGATATGAGTGATTGGAGAAGCTAATAAACGCCCATCGAAAACGTCTACCCACAAGGATTTACCGCAAAAATAAACAAAATATAATATATTGTCGTTTTTTACTATATGAATATGAATATAAATAAGGCACATATGACAAATTATCATCTTTTTGCTGGACCGATTTCGACTAGTTTTTTGGCATGTTTGATGCGATTGGGCGTAATTTATTGTTATATTTTCATTTAAAAAATCTTTTTTATCTTATGTTACCTAGTTGTACAAGCAATTGTGTCCTCAAGAAATTTAACAAAAATTTTTTTAATAATTTTAAGTTTTATTTTATTCCTGATTCAAATTTCTATAAATATATATTGATTTAAACTGTTTCATTACATCAAAATTATTAATGAAGTACATTAGTTTTCAATGTTGAAATTTGCATTGAAGTTGATGAGTTATATTTATGGTTTTACTTTAATCAGTTAGTAACGTAGATAGTTGTTTTTTTTTCTACAATAAATTTTTTTGGGTTGAATATAATTAAAACTAGTGGGGCGCATGGCATCGTGCCTTAAGGCAAATTGCTGGAACTTCCCGTACCATTTTTGAGGAACTATATAAATTTTTGACAAAAACTTACTTTTTGTTGAAAAATTTATTTTGAAATATTTTGGAAATTCTGAACTTTTTTCAAAGCTATCGTACTGCTTTAATGCATAGAGACTAAATATCGAAGCGCGTAAGCGCCGCGTCGCTGTCTAACGCATAAGCATTGGTACGGAACCCATAGGAATGTTAACAAAATGTATACTTATTGTTAAAATGCATATGTCTAATGTCAAGTGCATATGTCTAATGTCTAATGATTATTGTTGACCGCCAAATGTTATTTTTTTTTTACTCCTTTTACTAGATCTCCGAAACCGCTAGACCTATTTTTATGAAAATTTGATCAAATCTTCATCTTGATAATGCAAGTAAAATGTTTTTGAATTATACAAATCGGACGCTCCGTTCGTTCTCTTAAAAACTGAGTTACCGTTTTTGGAACTTTTTGCCCCATATCTTCGGAACGGACCTGCCTTTGACAAAAACTGATCAGCACGTCTTCTTATCAATACGAATCGAATGTTTTTTGAATTATTCAAATTGCTTCATCCCGGTTCCCGAAATCGTCGACGAAAATTTGTATCTGAACACACAAAAATGCACGCACACACACACACATACACACACATACATCAATTTTCTCTAAGGTATGCCAATATATTCAGAAACCTTTGAGATGTAAAGATATATAAAAATTTTCATTTTCGATTTTTGTGCGATTACTGTAACTTACCCTACGGAAAGTTAATTATAAATAAATCAATTTATCATCTCCAGAACATTAACAATCGTCATTTCATTTCGAATCAAATTTCAAAGAAAAAAATAGTTGCCAAATTTCCACAAAATTGAAAAAGTGCTCCCGCATAGTCACAGTCTAAACACATTTGCAAATAATTCTGTGCGACATTTTCACTTATCTATGCTTAGCTTGGCGGCATTTTCACATTTTTCAATAATTTTCTCAAAATTGGAAAAGTGCCCCTATACATAAACAGTCTAAACGCACTTGGGTAAACATTTGTACCAGAGTGGCGCTTAGACTGTGCTTAGCTTGGGTGATTTTTTGAATTTTTAATCCAAAATTACAAAAAAAAATTTTTGAAAAAAAAAAAGAAACAAAAATTTTTTTTTCCAAAATCAATTATTTTGTTGAAACAAGCAGAAAGTTCTTTAAGTCATTTAAATAGGACACTTAGTTCTCTCAAAAACTGCCATTTTTTTAACATTTAGCTCTGTATTACCGGAACCGCTGGGCCTACCTTTGCCAAAAACTAACCAGCACATCTCCCTATCAATAGGAATCGAATGTTTTTTAAACCATTCAAATCGGTTGATCCGTTCCCTCAAAAGCTCGCTTTCTATTTTCTGCACTCTTTGCTCCATATCTCCGTAACGGCTGGACCTGCCTTTGCCAAAAACTAATCAGCACATCTCCCTATCAATAGGAATCGAATGCTTTTTAAACCATTCAAATCGGTTGATCCGTGCGCCCGAAAACGTGGACGAAAAAAAGCGGACATACAAACACACACACACACACACACACACACACACATCCATTTTTTCTGAAGTATGCCAAAATGTTCAGAAACCTTCAAAACGTCGAGAAATGTAAAAATTTTTGATTTCGATTTTTGGACGATTACTATAACTTACCCTACGGGAAGTTAATAATATGATTCAAATATCTAAAAATGTCGGCCAAAAATGTCGTATAAGCCCAATATATTACTTGTACTCCAAATATTGTAAGTATATACAGACATTGTATAACTCTAACATCTTATATTTACTTGTTTGTAATGTAATGGTTTTGGAAATATTTGTCAAGATAATGCGAAATTTTATGTCACCCATATATTTCATATTTAGAATTTTAGTTCTTTGACATTATCTTTAAAACTCAAAAGATATAGTTATTCTAATATAAAAAATCAATCTTTTATTTTTTTTAATTATTCGAATATAAACTTTCAATTCAATTCTAATAAATTGCCGCTTGATATATAAACTTTTTTTTTATTAATTTTATTCCTTATAGTCAATTAAATATGATATGAAACGTGATTAAAACCGCAACTTGTACGTTGTGTTTTTATCAAAATCAAATTCGTGTCAATATTAGTGAAATTAAAATTTGATTCATAAATATTTTTTATTGTCTATCATATTACCTGCATAAGTTTATTATGAATACCTCCGTGTCACCGGTAACATCACACCACGACGGGCTCATATATTAAAAATGACGTCTAATACTGAATATGTGAGATCATACATCTATTTTAAAATAGATTAACCAAAATTACCCATATAAATTTAAATTGAATGATAATTAGTTTTTAACATCAACTTTTTTCGCTCGAGAATATGATTTTATTTTTTTACAATTCAGAAACCAATCATTAACTAAAATATTGTTAATAGGAGGGATGATGAATGTGTTATTTTGTAATTGAAATCTAAAAGAAACATTTTGGTAATTTGGTAAAAACCTATTTACTAATTAGTGTTGTCCAGGTTAATATGAACACTGGGTCAGTCGGTTCAAAATAGTTCTAAACTTTAATGTTTTTATCTGGATATTAATTCTCGAACATTCGGTCTTTACATAATTAAAAACTACGTGTTTCCGATCACCCTCGAACTGGTTTGACGTCAACACTGGTCGCGGAGTAATGTGGCGATCAAGTCAGCTTTGACATTCGGGGATAATAAAAACGTTATGTTATGATACTTTACATATTTTTGTAATCAATATTTTATAATATAATTTTTTAAAAACTTAAAAGTACTTAATTATAAATTAGCACATGTCCACAACTTTAAATAATAAATTAATAATTAAAGTGGTTAGGTTGTTTGATAACGCTCTTGGCAATGAATGACGGGTCATTTTATGAAAAAATATAAAAGTATATTTATCTCGACTCGTTTTTAAAAGAATATTCCGCCCCAAATGAATAGCGAAATTTTTTATCTCGCAAACGTTGTTTTGACGTTTTGACTTTCAAATAATAAAGTGTTGCTTTTGTTTTCGTTTAATTGTGTTTTTTGTACGGGGCAGCGTGCGCCAACGCAGCAATGGCGTTTGGGCGGCAATTAGATTTTTGTAATTTTAATGAAATTATGTTAATATTTATGCTATTGATATAATTTAAGCACTATACTTTTTCCTCTCTTTGTTACTTTTAAACAATTTTATATATTTTGAATTATGCGAAGAGTAGGGCTGGGCCCAAAGGTCCAATTTGACTTTCAGTATTCATACTGTCTAAACTAAATGAACTACATGACAACACACAAACTATCAAGCTATGTTCAGTTAAATTCCCTGTTATCACCTATGTGTAATATGTACTAATATTTGTTTTAGAAAACTAGTCTAAAGACACCTAACCATAAATCTATTGTTATACCTCAAATATAAATAACACATATCCGTTGTTGAAAAAACGAGAAAACTATGAAAACAATGTAGTGAAAGAAACATTAATTGTGCAAAAGCTATGATAGTGGTCATAAATTTCACGAAGCACGGAAATTCTCTCATTAAGAGTAATCGTTAACAATGAATTTACTAAGTAATTAAGTGAAGGCGATAAACTCATAATTTGCTCAAAATATAATTTTTTTATCTTATTCTCGTGTTAACAAAGAATTCAATTACGTAACATATATTTCAGAGAGAAATATAAATGAGAGAAATAATATACACAAAAAAATAAGCATGGGTATATTTGGGAATGAGATTTTTTAATAAACTACAGTATTTAATTTTAATAATTATATATATATATATATATATATATATATATACAATGTGGGGGTGTGTATGAACGTATGTATTTGTTAGGTTGGTAAATAACTTTCGTAATTTTGTAATGTATTGTTTATTTTGATCAATGACATATTATCATCCTTCAAGCAACATTATCTATTCATCATCTTACTTTCATAACACTTCTGGTTTTTATGAACAAAAACAGAATCAGATACAGATTGATAACATCACATCCTAACCGGGCTCCAAAATTTTTGCCGTGTGATCAAAGATATGTGATGTCTAAATAATCACTTCTATTTGTGAATTCCTGCCGCTTTTTTAATTGCATTGTTTAATTTTGCTAGTTGTTTAATGTAGATATAAGAATTGATCATTTGTTCAGTAATAACAATCTAATAACAGTTCAAAGTAGACAAATTCTTTTTTAATCAACTTTAACTGGAGGAGTGTTATTTATCTTTGATTGAAAAATCAAGACCACGAAATTTGGAAAACCAATTTTTAACACAATATATTATTAATTATAATAAAAACCACCTTTATTTGATTCTAATAAAATAACTAATATTCTGTATAACTTTGTATTCTTCTGCGAACCATTATGTTTTATTATATCTAAATGACTAAATATTTTCATAGCAAATTAATTTTTCGCACGTCGTTTTTCTTCTGGCTTCTCGTTTGACGGCGATATTTATTACATGCGCTCGAATTTTTCGTTGCACACATAAAATACTGCGA